GGCTCCTGTCCGTGTGCACACCAAACCCTTGCATAGCTTCGTGGTCCGCGTGCCCTTGTATCTCCCAGCGCAGCACGGGCTTATCTGTGGTCTGTAAACCAGGCAACCGCCTCTGCGCACCACAGCCCCGCTCGGTCCCCGGGCCATCTCCTCTAATGCCCGGGCTTCTCTCAGATCCCCCTCACCTTCTCATCCCACTTCTCAACTCATGGGACAAGGGGACCCATGATTTTAAAATAAAAATGCATCACTCCATATTTTGTTTTATAAACACCCCCTGTTGTTAATACAGACCCGTTCGCCTTCCAAGCGCCTGGTGTGACTCCTGGGTGAGAGGGGAAAGGCGGCCCTCCTAGGCCTGATCATTCATATCAATCCTTCATGTCCCTGCCACGAGGTATCTCTGTGGAACTGAAAGTGCATTTTTAAAAGGGGAAGGCACAGTCATTGAGAATTTGCTAAATGTGTGGGGACCTGTATGACACCATTTTGCAAAAGATGATGTAAGAAAAGGTAACGCTGCCTGTGGCAGGAAGGTGCCAGGGTCAGCCCCTGGGCAGCTCGGGGGGGGGGGTAACTGACAGCTCGCTTCGCCTCCCCTCCCCAGCTCTGGGCTCACTCTGACAGTGGGGAAAGATGGTGAAAACATAACCCCGGCTAACGAAATTGGAAGGAAAAGTGAAGGGTCTCAGATCCTGCTACATAAGCATTCTATTTCGGGGTTCACTCTGGGTTGAGATGCAAATATTTAATTTGTGAGAATCTCGGGTCCTTCAAAGGCCTAGGAGCATAGGAAGCCCTCCAGCGGGGGCCCACAGGTCCCGCCCCTTCTGCCTCTGTGCTAACGAGACAGCAGGTGGCACAGACACCGTGGCCTCCTCTCCAGACTTCTCAGGGGACACTGCATGACTAACCCTTTCCAGGCCAGCAGGACTCCAGAGTTGGTGCTTGCTGTGGATACACCTTTTGAAAACCAAGCAGCCATGAGAAATGTCATGGTGAGGTGCCAGGTGAAGTGCCCTTTGCCCACCCCCACCACCCCACCTCCTCACCTCCTCCGAACGCCCGCGGGGAGCAACCCCAGGCTACAAGGAGGGGGGCTTCAGAGCGCCCACCGACACAGCTACTCGGGTTCTCGTTGATCGAAGTCATGCATAAATCAAGTCTTTTTTCTCCCACTTTTCTAAAAGGAGAGAAAAATCTGCTCCCACCCATTTCTGTCTCGACAGATAGAGCAGATCCCAGTCATGTCATGAAAGGGAGCGCAGACTGTCTGGTCTCTCAGGAGAGTCTTCTTTGGGGGGTGCTGGTGGAAAGACCCCAGGTCGTGTGGTTCAGGCCTGCATTCTCCCTCAGCTCGGGCTGAGCCCGGCTGCCGCGTCCTCCCCTCTGAGCCAGCATTCTCCGTCCAGGCGCTTGGCAGCTACCTGTGTAGGGGAGGGTTTTCTCCAGCAGCTGTCTCCGTGCCCTGGGCTGGCAGCGCAGTCTCTTCCTGACCTGTTAGAAGGAAGGTCACTTATAAACACGCCTGGGCCGCACGCCTGTCCTCTCCACTCGTCTCCGTCCTGGTCGCTCTCCCGTCCCGGTCCCTCGAAGGCCACTGCATTCTGAGCCCAGTTTCGTTTTCTTCCTCTTCAAACTGTATGCACGTCGGCCTCTTTCCTCACTGTTAAGCCATCGGTGTCACTCTCTGGTGGCAAAGCAGTGAGGTTGAGAGCTGGCCCTCTGTCAAATGAATGGGGGGGGAGTAATGTGGATGATTAAAACGTAAATCAGTTTTACTTAAAGTCATCCATTCAGTCGGCTCAATCATCTAGTGGACTTTAGGGCAAAACATCTTGAATGCAATAGTATACTTACTTATTCAGGATTTATTTATTTATGGAGTAATAATTACACCTTTATAACGCTCCGTCAGCTTCTTGACACTCCAAGTTTTTCCAAGGCACTCCCGATGTCTTACAATTATTTTAATGTGGCAGTTGCAGAATGATTTCCATTCATTTCTTAAAGATGTGATTATGAGATACTTTTTTTGGTCCCAGTGGTGTATTTTTCTTAAGACAAATAGTGATACTGACGTTCACGAGCTGCATCAAACGCCCTCATTCGTTTGCTTAGTTAACAAGTCATCATTGAGTGCCAACTATGAGACCATATTCAGTACCAAGCTTGAACAACTCACGTCTTGGTTTAAGAAAGTTTTCCTTAGGATTCAATATACAGTATAATCTCTCCCTTTAACCTTTAGCAGATGTTGTAAGTTGGCTGAGCCCAAAAATCCTCACCTGGATACTTTAAAATTTTTACTTTTTGTGTGATAGACCATTTGGAGGAACAAAAGGAAGATGGAAACTCTATGACCCCCCCCCCCCCAATGCAGATACCCAAACACACAGGCACTTTTGCACCCAATTCCAATGGCCCGATGCCCATTGTCCCCGGGCCCCGGGATGAGGCCGTGCAGCAGGAGTGTTGAATTTTGCCTGCAGTGTGTAAAGTCCTTACAATCTACGCCATGAGAAGCAAAAACTGCTGCGGTTGCTCCTTGTCCTCCCTCGTGTGTATCAGGAAGTGACCAGGATCTGTGGATTCTGTGACCTGGCTGAATGCCAGCTTTCCTCCGTGTCCTTCTGTCCCGGCCCTGCTGGGGTTCCAGTCACTGCCCCTCACGACTGTTGCAGTGGTCTCGTTACTCTCTCTGCAGCACGTCTGCTCGCCTTCGGGCGCAGAGCCCATGACGCTGGAACAGTGATCCTGGAAACACGTCTGCGTCCTGACGCGGACCCTCTCGATCAGGCCGTTTACAGTGGACCCCTCCCCGCCGAGACACTCTTGATCTCCGTTGCCATGTTCCACTTTGTCTTCTATTTTTCTTCCAAAGCCTGTATCTTCTAACCTACTCTACAGTGTACTTAGCTTTAATGTGTATTGTATGCTCCCTACCCTGCCTCCTAGTGTAAGCTCCACAGGTATTTTTATCTGTTTCGTTGACTGACAGCCTAAACATCTGGTACATGGCAAGCACTCAATATATATTTGTTGAATGCAGTCAAGTCAGATTCCATTTCCAAATTCTCATTTTTCCCCTGCTTATAGGATACAAACCCCTAATCCACCCTTTCAAAGGTTCGCGTGATCTGGCTGCAGACTCCCCCAGCCGCCACCTCTCCCCACTGGCTCTCCATCTCAGCAGCGTGACCGACGCTCACGGTTCACTGTTTCTTGCAGTTCCTAGACATGCTACGTTCTTCCAGCCTCTCTGTTCCTTATGGGTCTATTCTCCTTCCAGGGATGTGGGGAGAACAGTTCCTCCTCTTTTAAAATCTAGCCAAGCGTTACATCCCCGGGGTCTTCTCCAACACGGCCAAGCAGAATTAGCCCTTCTCTGCCCTTTGCCTGCATTGAATTTTACGCAGTTTCCCTTTTCGGCAGTTTTACACACTGAGCCCTTTATCTCCTCTGGACTCTGTGCTCAACCATGTCCAATTCTTCTGTGTGTCTGCCCAAGAAATGATCACAGTACCTGGCACAGTATTAAGTAGTTACTTAATACAGTGATTCAAAAGAGGAGCTACCAGCGCACTGAACCACGCGGTCAAAGGTTTTCAGCCATCACCATGCCTCGTGTCCACGTCGCTGCTGCCCTCGCGTGCAAGCCTGTACCTCCTCCGCGTTCCCTGTTCCCGTGGATGAGGTGCACCCCACTGATATGAAGCTGGGCATAAGGAATGATCTGCCTCCCCTCCCTGAGACCGCCCAGTCAGTCACGAAGTCCTCTGGACTTTGCTTCCCAGACTTCTCTCAAATTCGGCTACTTCCTTTTAGTCTTGCTGCCGGGAGCCTTTGCTAGCCTGTCATCATCTGTCACCACAGCACACTGCCTGGCACAGGGCAGAGGTTGGGTATATATTTGTGGAATGAATGAATCTCCCGAGTTAAAACCATTTCAAACGGCGCCAGGCAGACTGCCATGCTTCCGAGGACAACCTGTCCAGGTGATTTTTCTGAGACCGTGTGAAAGGCCCCGCAGAGTGGTGTTTGCATCGGCCACAGCTCTCGATGTAATTTGACTTTCAGGAAAGGCAAGTCCCTCCCACCCCCTTGATTTTGCCAAGGAGGTTATTTTCTCTGATTGTTCCCGTCTTAAAAATTCAAGTCATGGCACATTTACCTCACTGGGCTGTGTAAATTCTCATGTAAGCTGGAAAAGAGTTCGCTTTCTTCCAGGTATACAGGAGGTCAGGGTGATTGCGGCCTTCCATCAGGGTCCCCCTGAGCATCACAGGTTCAAATGTCCTGAAAGGTAAAGTTACTGGGAGTAGTCTAGGTGGTCCCTAAAGGTGCTCTTGACTTTGGCTTTCTAAGAATCTTCTTTCAGACATTAAAGCAGAAACAAAAAAACGCGAGCGATTGAGCGACTGTGACATCTAACTAAGGGCGAGCGGTCTCAGATGGGTCGGTACCCCTCAGGTGGAGCCGCTCGCTCAACAGACTCTAGCGCTTCTGTGGCTCTGGGCGAAGCTGGGTGTAGGAAGGAGAGCTGTGGGCGGTGGAGACGCTGGCCCAGGAACAGTTGATAAATGTTTTCTCCCTCTTTCCTCAGCAGACGGTGTGATAGTGACTGCATCCGCCAAGTCTTATTTGAGAAATTGCTGGGCCAGGAGTTACTCTGTCATTTGACTCTTCTGATGCCCCGCCCCCTGCCCTGTGGGGGGGGTGATGTGCCGAGGGCTCTGGTCCTCCCCCACCTCCTCCTCCTTCTCAGGTCCAAGTTAAGGTTAGGCCAGTTTGGTTGGGGTCTTCGGAATCCGTAGGGTTTGGCTGACTATCGTGCTGGCATGACTTCTATTCCCAAAGACAAAAAGAGAAACGGAACTTCAGTCATGTGGCTTCTGTTATCTGTAACCATGGAAAACGCTGGCCATCTGTGAGGCTCCCATTTTAACACTTTTTCTCCCCCCTCTCTTTATTTCCATCTTTTTCTCGGGAAAAACAAGCTGAGGAAGTGGAGAGGCTGGCGGCAATGCGTTCTGACTCCCTGGTCCCAGGTACCCACACCCCACCCATCCGGAGGAGAAGTAAGTTTGCCAACCTGGGAAGGATTTTCAAGCCTTGGAAATGGAGGAAGAAGAAAAGCGAAAAGTTCAAACACACGTCTGCAGGTAAGATTCGTTTGTGCTTCATTTCTCAGTGGACTTCTGTTGACTTCAGCTCCGTGTGTTAATTAGCAGACCTCAATTACTGTAGGCTGTCAGAACCAAAGGGAAAAAAAACAAGCCTTGGACTTGCTCTTGTCCTTAATAATGATTCCATATGACTGGGATTGGCTTTGAGATGCTTTGTGTTTTCTTGTGTCTCGGGGTTGTGTTGCTGCTGTTTTTTAGAGAACCACCACTTTTATCTGATCTATAAATATCTGAACTTGGAACGCCACCTTTTCTGTAACTGAACGCTTCCCCTCTAGCATTGACAATCCATCTCTTATTTTTCATTCTGATGTTCACTGCTCCAGCAAAAATCAACACACAGCAGAAAATAAGTTATATATAGCTGTTGGCAGATAGAATAGGTTATTTCACGTTGGAATCGTCTTGAATAAGTGGCTCTTGGCCATGGCAGGAAAACACAGGAGAACAGAAATGGAGCATCACTGATGACAAAGATAACTATGCAGTGTGTAGCCCAGTGGACAGCAAAGGAACTCGGGGCAAGTCAGCATAACTGAGGGGTAAGAGAGAGCCTGGAGTCTGTGTACCTGGGTTCAAGTCCCAGCTCCGATGCTTGGTAGTTATATGGCCTTGCCCACTTTATGTAACTCTGTACCTCAGTTTCCCCATCTATGAAATAGGGTTAAGAATCGTACCTCACATGACTTAAAATTGTGGAGCGTCTTTGTGGCACACAATGTGGATTTTTTTAAATGAGAAGCAGTGTGCCGTGAGGAGCTCTGATCTCACCCCATGTAGACGCGATGACGGAAGAGCTGTTAAGTCTTTTTGTTTGTTTTGCTTTGATTTTGCTAATTACGTGCCCAGGTCATTCCAGGCCTACCCCTGCACCTTCATTTCCTTCTTCCTCTAGTCTGTGTCCTAAACCACTCAACCTGCTCTCTCTCCGCCTCGGAATTACCACCTCTATTTTTTGGTCCCCTTGCCCTTATCCTCTGCCCCAAACTCACCATACAATAGATGATCTGCTTTTTGTACCTGAGCACTGTTCTACAGATCCAGTCGTTTTCATGCTAATTGCTTTGAGGGAATGAAAGAGAATAACAAGCATAGGAAAGTTGCAGGAAGTCTTGAATCTTAAAAACAGTCCTCAGAGTATTCTGCCCAGTGTATGTTCTGACTCTGTTTCTTAGATGGAAGCCCGGCACCTTGTTGCTATATATACTCGGTTCATTCCTGAGGCTCGAATGAACTCGGCATTCCATAAGTCTCCACGTCCACCTGCTGCATTCTCCTGCCTCTCGGTCATTGCACAGGTCCGTTAAGGTGCATGTGCAGGTCATGCATGCATCCCCAGACACTACTGAGAGATTACATGCATGTGGAACTCTGAATGGATGACTCCTCTCTACCCCTCCGTGGAGGTGACAAGGAGAAGGGCACTTAGACCGTTGCCTGGGGGAGGAGAAGCTAAATGAAATACATTCTGTAAGCAAAGTGAGGTGTAAAGCATGTGAACAAGAAAGTAAAAGGGAGAGTTCTGCAAGCCCCAGGGAAAATAATAGCCAAGATTCCACAAGATCCTTTACAGTGTTCTTCCTGACTTTGCAAGGAAAAGTGGTCTGTAATCACAGAAACGCACGTGTGAGTGACTGGATGATGAGGTGGCAGATGTACTGCCTCCTGGCAGAGCAGAGCTCCGGAGCTCCCGCCGGGCCCAGACAGAGCTGCAGGGCTGCTCGGGGAGAAGGCACCTGACCCGCCGCGCTGGCTCCTCGGGATGTTGGCAAGCCGGTCCTTGGACAGATGCAAATACAGTGGTATCAGATTACTCACAAGTCATTAGAAGTCTGAAGAAAACTTTCATTTAAAATTCTTTGGGGAGAAAGAATTAAAAAACATGTGACAGGCAAAGTTGCAACTTGAATCGATCTTATTTTTAACTATTCCTAACAAGTTCCCTTTGATTTCTGTGGCCAAGCTGATTGAATTGGCAGCTGAATGTGACATTCGTAGGTAGTTTTTTTTTTAAGAGACTGTCAGCTTCCAAATGAGAGAAGCTGGAGGATAGACTATGGAATATCTTTATATCACAGTAGTTGGATGGGTTCATGATGTAACTGAAGCTGTTCTGTTTTTGTTTTGTTTTTTTAAGTCAGTGGTTTACACTGTAGTTCTCTTTGTACTTAACTGGATTCAGAAATGTTATTTCTTATTTTTGGAAAGGAGAGATTGTGCTAGTTTTTAGCCCAAAGGAGGAAAATATTGGCATCAAAAGGATGTTTAACACCATAAATTGTATATATATTGTTCAAGTAACACTTTGAATTGCAAACTTTCCTATGCATGGATAAGAGTCAAATATTAAATATACAAGAGGATTGATTGGTTGTGAGAATGTTAATTGGTTGGCCAATTTTAGCTGGTATATATATATTTGTCTTGTGTGTGTGTGTGTGTGTGTAATGTCCCTTCATATGTACAATAATGTCCACAATTTTGAATACAAAGAGTAAGTTCATGTATTGCATGTATATTATGTATTTATATTTAAATTGTATGTTTTGCCCTGGCCAGTTTAGATCAGTGTTAGAGTGTCAGCCCGAAGACCAAAGGGCCAAGGGTTTGATTCTCAGTCAAGGGCACTTACCTGGGTTGCAGGTTCCATCCCCAGCCTCAGTCGGGGTCGTGCAGGAGTCAGCCAATCAATGTGTCTCTCTCACATCAATGTTTCTCTCTCCCCCCCCCCCTTCCATTCTATCTAAAAATCAATGGAAAAATATCCTGAGGTGAGGATTAACCAAAAACAAATAAAATTGCATGCTTTTTTTGAACACATGAAATTATATTAACACAGTACATACTTGGCCTGTTATTATTCCCATAATGAGTTACATTTATAATTTGCCATAATTAGCTATGCTATAGTTTTACTGTAACTCAAGGTACAACACATGGGTGTCTGTGTATATGCAACCCCTTCCAAAGTACACCCAGAAATATTGCTTTGCAAGTTGTAGAGCAATAAGAAAACGGCATTAGAAAATCATGATCTCGACATTGTCCTCAGTTTTGGCATCAACAGCTATTACATAAATTTTCCAAAGACAGATCTTCATGCCTCATGCTGCTCATACATCCTTTGTATTCCAAGCTGAAGGCCTGTGTCCTTAAAAGGCCTCCAGCATCCAGACCCAGAGACTGAGCTCTGCATGGCGGTTGAAGCACAACCAGACAGTTTCTCGCAGAAGCATCCCTGCATCACCTGCGGAGGAGAGCATAAAACAATAGGTCCTCGGGGATGTGATCTCCACGTGCTTTTCAGCCAGTCCTCAGAGGTTCCGCGCAGGCCCTGGGGAGCAATTAGCCCGACCCACGCCCAGGTTCTTTCATGAAATGGGCAGTGGGCGTCCACAGCACATCCTTACACCGGCCCCAGGAACACGAACGGATGATGACATCCCTCCGAAACAGAACAGACGGTGCCTCCTCAAACAGTCACCTGCGGCCATCTTATCCAATTTCTCATGAAAAGAACTGTATTTATAAAAAAGTAGACCTGGCAGGAATACGCTGTGAAGGTGCCACCAGGTTAAGCTTTTGTTTCCTCCGAACGGAAAACCCAGAGCTGTAGGGGTGGCCCTGGGAATCTACAACGTACCCACGTTTCCTTTGTGCATGTCAGCTCTCCTGCATACCTGCAGCCTTGAAGGAAAAACAGCCACAAAGCTCACTGAGTGCCTCCCCCATGCTGACACTGTACCTGGCCTGGGGAATGGAACTGTGAAAAAAACCAGACCTTGTCAGAGACCCGCACCGGGGAGCTGGAGGGGCACGTGATCAAATCCCAGGAGGAAAGGTGAGGTCACAGCTGTGACAGAGCAGAGGAAGGAAGGACCTTGGGGGAAGGAGAGACCTGACTCAGTCTGAGGCGTCAGGGAAACTTCCCTGAGGAAGAGCAGTTTGATCTGGGACCTGGGAGGGGGGGATTTGCAGCCAGGCAGCAGATGAGCACGTGCGAGTCCTGCCGGAGAAGCCGCCAGTGAGCCGTCTGGGAGAGCAGGAAGGACCAGGGGCTGGGGAAGGGAGGGCTAGTGTGGTGTGGAATAAGGCTGAGGCTGGAGGGATAACCAGAGATGGGACCTTCGCTGGGCCTGCATCCTGTAGAACAGATTAGACAAGGGTGTGCGTGGCTGCAGGTAGACTGTTAGCAGAGCACTGTGCAGGTGATGGACGTCGGGATAATACTTGGTGGTAGGAATGGATGGATTTGGGTCTGTTATAAGGAACAAGTGATGGGACGCCATGACGGGTCAGACGGAGGAGGGAGAAAGAGAAGCATCGCGGCTGGCATTCTCGTGTTGGTTTAGGGTATGTGCTGGGGGCCTTTCCTGGAATGAGTGCTTTGGGAGAGTGACAGGTTTGGGGGAGTGGGGGCAGGAATGAGCTGGAGATAAGACCGCAAGTCCTGGAATGTGTTTGAGTTGACTTTGTGATAGCCAAAGCTGACCATTGACTATATGGAGAGCAAAGAAGAGGTCTGTGATTGATATGGAAATGTTGGGTCATTTGCATACATATGTTAATTAGAGTGGTGACCATGTATGGGATTCCTTAGGGAGCAAGTATAAAATAGAAAGAACCCTGGCTCGTTTGGCTCAGCAGTTAGAGCCGGTTGGAGCGTCAGCCTGCGGTCCAGGGAGACCCTGGTCCCCTTCCCGCTAAGGGCATGTACCTTGGTTGCAGTTTGTCCCCGGCCCTGGTTGGTCGTGCGGGTGGCAGCCACTGATGTGTCCCTTTCACATCAATGTTTCTCTCTCCTTCTCTCTCCCTCCCACTCTATCTGAACAAAAAAATGGAAAAATGTCCTTGGGTGAGGATAAAAAATAAATTAATTAATTAAATAAAATGGAAAGAAAGAGAGTGAAAGGCAGTCTGACCGACAAAGGAAGGAGGAAGATGAGCCTGCGTAGGAGACAGCAGGGCAGAGGCTC